AGGAAGAGGTAACTTCAATACAATGCCCCACCCCAGACATGTGTATTTCAGGAAGCTATTTTTTGTGTGAAGATAAAACAATTCTATGTTTCTGAAAGAGTCTCTAAAAGGCTAAAACTAACTCAGAGAATTGTGATAGAGCTTAACTTGTTGGTCAAGGGAGTACCATGACCAAAAAATAGAATATAATTCAGAATAAATAAAAGCAAATTACAAAGGACAAGCAAGCAGGACCAAAGAAAAGAAGCCAGAAAACTTGAAGGAAATGTTTTAATGAATCAAAGCTCTCTGCCCCAAAGGCAACATCATTCTCTGTGGCCATTTCGTTTGGGGATGGACAATGAGAAAGTTAAAACTAAGCTGAAATTGGTTCTACCTGCGGAGGCAGCCATTTCAAATTTTGGTTAGGTCAGCTTACTAACAACCAAGATGGCAACGAAAAGGCCTAAGAAAGTGGCTAAGAATATGATGGAAGAAAGTTCTAAATGAATGCATGGCTAGTGTCAAAGACACAAAACGGGGATTTATCTAATCCGGATGGAAGAATGAACATAGTGTTCAATTTTCTAAAGTATCTGATTGCTCTGTTATGACTGAGGAGTTTTATATGAGACTATGGAATCAGCAACAAACCCCATTCGCAACACCCTCCTATCCCCAAGTTAAAGGATGAGAGTGTGAGGCATGCATGTTATTACATACTTCACATACATTAATTTCAATTGCTTATCTGTACTTACTAGGCTCCCACTATATGTGTCATTTTGCCACCAAAAGATGTAGGTATTCATTCTAAGATGAGCAAACAGTCTTAGAATATTCTCTTTCACAGTAAGACGTGGCAATGACATAATATTACCGTTTTTAGAGCTACATTGTCTGTGCCTCGGCTGTCCAAGGCTGCTAACTCTCAGAAGTAGACTTATAGATAGATGTCCTCTCGTGGAGGAAGCCATCAGCTGCATATTAGGATTTTAACCATCGATTTAAGTTACAGAAACTTAGGTCAGGCATCAGGAAAAGTCCTGAGTACCTGTTGTTGGCCATCACTGTCCCGGGGCCAGGGGACCCATAAAGCAATGTGGAATGGTCCTTGCCCTCAGAGAGAGCTACTTGGCAGGTTTGCTAGTTGGTGGTGCTGTTCCACATGGAGGTGGCTCCCAGGACAGTGGAAAGAGCCCAGGACTGGGAACAGGAACCCCAGGGCGTGGTCCCACTTCTAATAACTAGCTATGCGCACGCTGGGTGTCATCGGTGTGGGCCTCATCTGTAAAATAGGACAGTGGCTAATAGATCCTGAAGGTCCTTCTGGCCTTAAATGTTCTGATTTTTTTCAGCTTTCAAATGGTTCTGGAAAAGAAGTGTAGGCCCTTTAAGAAATGAGTTCTAGCCCGGCTGGCGTGGCTCAGTGGTTGAGGGTTGAAGTATGAACTAGATCATGGTTTAATGCATCTCTCACTCTCTGCCTCTCTGTCTGTTTCTGCCCATCCTGTTTGTGCATGTGATGTCGCTCTCTCCTCTCTCTCTCTCTCTCTCTCTCTCTCTCCCTTCCTCTCAAACACACACACACACACACACACACACACACAGACCACCATCACCACCACCACCACCACCACCAACAAAACCCCACAAAAAAAGAGACACCACCACCAAATAAAAAACAAGAAAGAAAGAAAAGAAATGAGCATAGAGAGACTGTGCATGTTCATAAAAATGTGTTCGTATTGGTGGCTCCACTAAGCCAATTTTGCGCTCTTTTTAGTTACTGGTAAGTGGAGGGAAGGGAAGGACAGTAGGTCTGGTTGCCAAGGAACCACCTGAAAAGTCCATCCCAGGTAGACATGCCCTGTAGATAGTGCGTGCTGGCTGGTCAGGTCTCTCCTACCAACAGAGAACCATGCACAGAGGACAAAGGCCACAAAGGCAGGACCTCCCTCCCTCTCCTTCATTTTTCTCAAGTGAAAATGGCCAGAGAATGAGCAGGTGTGCAGGATAAGGCGAGGGGCTTTCCCAGTGCGAGTCCGGAGGAGTCACACACGGCCTTAACAGCTGGGAATTGGGACCAGCAATAGAAGAACAGGTGACATCAAGGCATTGATGCCAAAAACACTCATGACTTCAAAACAGTCAAGGAAGGAAAACCAGGGTTAGATCAAATAGACAAACATATCAGCTAAATATTTACAACATGTAGGGGTCGCCCCCAACACAGCATGTATAGCAAGACTCTTTCTTTGGCTCCCAGACTCTCCTCTATGTTAGCGTCTTAAAACTGAGTTGAAGATGCAGCTCCATTTGAAGTCTAAGTGTGATACTGACTGTTGCATGTGCTTTTAATGCATTTTTAAAAAATTGATTTTAGAGAAGGTAAGGGAGAGGAAGAGAGAGAAGCACTGACTGGCTGCCTCCTGCACGCCCCCTACTGGGGATCAAGCCTGAAACCTGAGCATGTGCTCTGACCAGGAATCAAACTGGCAACCTTTTGGTGCATGGGAGGACACTCAACCATCTGAGCCACACCAGCCAGGGCTGTTGTATGTAGTTTAATAGACCTGGAGAGTTCTTTGTACCTGGGGAGCCCATCTTTTCAGACATTGTGCTGAGTTTAAGCAACCAGGCACTTAACTCCTAGGCCCCAAGGGTTGGGCGGTCCCCGTAATTGTAAAAACTGGACCATATAAAGGAATCCTAGGGCAGCAGGGAGGAAGCTGGAGGGAGCTGACATATCCCGCCTACTGGATCCCACAGATCGAAGAAAGTGTCTGCCTCCCCGCCTCCCTCCCGGAACTCCTTGAGAGAAGACCCTGCTTTCTGAAGACCGCCCCGCCCCCAGCCTGAGCTGGACTCTGCCTGGAGGTGTAAGAAATCATAATCTCTGGCGTCCTTCTATTCTGGCCACGCTTTCCCCGGACTCTACCCTTTCTTGGGAGGTCATGTGACAAAACCTTGATCTGCTTCCTGTGAATTTGAATCTTGGAGGGGCCACCCACCTAAAGAGAAAAGAACTATTGCAGTGTGAAATTTCTTTCTACCCGACCTTCCTTTCCATCCAAACATTAATATTTAAATGTTTACATTTATTTACCTTCTGCTCTACAGCAAGTTTTACTCTAATAAGCAAAGCTTAAGGACTCTAGCTCATTATGTTTGTTTTCATGTTTGAAAACCAGGGTCTGTGAGTGGTTACAGGCACTATGTGGGCACCCCTGGAGACCATGTGGCCATGCTTGGGTGGCTCCAGCCTCCAGGCTACTTTGGGCTTCTTACGAGAAATTGGGAATGAGATCAGAAAAATACAACCTAGATCTGCAATAGCTGTCCTTTCATATCCGAGGAACCAAGAATACCAAGTTTTGTAATTACTTGCAAAGTGAATGGCGGAGTTTGAAACATGTTAACAGTGGGGGACAGGGACATAAAACTCAAAATTCAGGGAAAGAAGGGGAGAAAGCAGTGCCGACCGCTCATTCCCTTTCACCCCCAAGAGGACAGCAGTTGGAAGAACAAGATTGGTTTTGTGTGTGCTGGGGAAGGAGACATAGTCCAACTCCATTGTGTTAGGATTTATTTCTATGATTGGTTTTAAGCCCACAGAGACACCGATGAGTTTGACTTCACAGATATCACAAGGGTAAACCTTAAACTGTAGCACGGACTCAGACATGGGCAATAAACTCACAGCAGCCTATAACTGCTGTATTTTATTGATTTTA